GTTTAGCTCGGAATTAACATAAGTATCAATGCGGGTTTTGTAATCGTGAAACCCGTTTCTATGTTCTCCAATTGTGCAACCTTCGTTTGCTTTGCAATCCCAACGGTAGCGGGCGAGAAAATCAGAATCAAGTAATTCTCCTATTATGTAAATTTTGCGCGTTTTGCCATCGGCTAACTTAAGTGAACGCAAATAATCTAAAGCAGAATAGTATTGATCGGGCGTGGTATTCGCATCGAAAACAACACGAACCATTGTTTTAGCGGGCAAATTATTAAGTGCCGTTTGTTGGTCAGCAGTTAAATTTCGCACATTGTCTAATGTAATTCCGTTAAAATGATCTGGTAGCTGTGCCGAAACAATTCCTGAACAAAAAAATAGAGATATAATCCACAAAAAATATTTGATTTTCATAATTTTACCCTTTTAACCTTTCGACTCTAGCTCTTCTTCAACTGCGATTTGCAGAAGCGTGTCCGCGTTTCTTTTTGGGCGATTTACACCTTCCGAATTGAGTAAATCGGAGGGAAATAATTTGCTCGCTACACCAATCAGCAAATATTCGAGAAAAGTTAAATTAGTTGCGCCAAAATCTTCCCAAATGCCGACTTCAGCTGATTGCCAAGCCTTAATCCAAAATTTTACGGGAAACTTCAGTTTCGGCTGATTGGTCGGATAGTTTTCAAATAAAGCGGTTGCCCATCGTTTATATTTGTGTTTATGACTAAGATTTTCGTGACCGAGAACAACCGCGCTTAAATCGCCGATATGATATTTGTAATTGTCGCCCCAACGCGAAAACTTGCTAAAGTCCTTTGCAATGTTTTCAATGTTAGCAGAAAGATTACCATCACTTTTGCCGTATTTTTCTGACTTTCCAATATATAGCGGAACAATCTGACCTTTATTCTCTCGATACATCATATAAATTAAACCGTCATAGATTCTCGAATCGTTTCGATAATCTTCCAGAACCTTTTCAACTTCGGAAATCACTAATTGATTCATTTCAGCGGAACGCTTGAGAATAATCCGTTTGCGATCTTTGCCGATTTCCGATGTCGAAACGATTTCCGCGCCGTCAAATAAATTAACACCAATTTCAGAAATGCTTTGTTTTTCCCAAAACTGATTCCAGACTTGTAATGAGTAATCTTCTGACATTCTTTTATAATTATAGGATTGATTATTTGGACACTGTAACAAGTTAAAACATAATCTCAATTAAATTTTAATTGCCTCAAATAATCGTTGTTATTAAAGCGACGAACGCGTTCACCAAATTTTTTACCTGATAAAAACTCTAAATAGTTAAACCAAAGCGTTCCTAAATCGTCCATAAATCTGACTAATAAATTTGGACAGTTGGGACATTGGCTTTGCCAAATAAAATAGCCACTATCAGCCTCAGCAGGAAAAACTGCTTTCTTTCTAAAATTAAAATATACAAAACCATTTATGGATTCAAAGTGTCTTTTTATTGGATCATTTATTAATTCGATTGTGTAAAGCGGGTCTAAAGAATAAGAGCCATCATTTAGATATAAAATAATTCCAAAAGCTTCTGGCTGATTTAATAATCGTTTCGTTTCGCGGATTTGTGAATTTGCGTGAGCAGATTT